TCACAGATTTTTGTCTTAGCTCAGGAAGGATGGCTCCAGAGCAAACTAATGTATGCAGTAGCCAAATTGCTCACTCACAACTTTAATGCCAGTAGCTCACAAAGTAGAATTCTTGCTCACAAGACTCCACAGCTTAGAGGGAGCATTGATCTAAAGCACTTTTTGTGGGAGGGCATCCGAATTGTATCAAACAAAGGTTATAAGAGAGATGGTTCCCTGGGTTTTTTTTTTTAAAAAAACAACAACACAGAACTCTGAAGTGAAATAGTTGATCTTCCCAACAAAAATGTACAACGTATCTAAAATCAGCCTCCTCTATGAGCGGTTGGAAAAAGGCTAAGGGGGAGCTAGGAAATCACACACAAATTAGCCTGATGCTTGCCATTTTTACAGATAATAGCAGATTAGTCAGGATGGTAAAAACGTAGACCGGGACGAGCTCAAAAAGTATCTCTCCAAACTGGGTGTATTACACAATGGCTGTCATATTCCAGGATCCTGTTTGGCTGAGGCTCCTTCCCTTGGCCTCAGAGGAAGAGGGGTGGGGGTTGAGCAGCACCCTACTGCACCTCCTCTCCCCTATCTCTGCTCCCTTCTGAGTGGGAGTCAGGCCTGATGTGCCTTCCTTGGCCCTCTTCCCCAGGCCTTTTAAAAACCATCACTATGCCTGAAGCATATCTAATGGACTCTCTCCACCCAAATGCCCTACAGGCATGTGGCAAAGCCTACAAGGGACCAATAGCGGCCTTAGGGTTGCCAGGTCCTCTTTGCTCATTGGCAGGGGGTGGGAGGGAGCTCTCCAGGAGTGCAAGGCTGGGGCGACACTGGCATGCATGACGCCCCCAGCATGATGATGTCATACGGAAGTGACGTCATCATGCCGAGGATGTTGCGCCAGGTGGTGGCTGTTGGGGGTGGGGCTTCCCCCCACCGGCCAGCTGGCTGGAGCCCACCAAATCAAGGAATCCCCCACTCCCACCTGGGGGCTGGCAACCCTAAGCTGCCTTCAAGCAATCTCTCCCCTGCCATTTCTCTTTCCCACATGCAGTGTGGAGCCTCCAGATAGCGGATTGTCATTAAGCTGGCTTTTAAATGGCCAGCTGTTGTTGATCATTTGGCTAGAGTCTAGATCTTTACAGGGTGCTTTTGCGACCCCGCTGGGCCTGCTGGATGCCAGGTTAGGAACCCTGGGGCATCAAGAAGAAGGGTGGTCTGCCATCATCACCACCACCACCCTGACAGTGGCAAATGAAATTGGTGCTTGGGGGGGGGGGGGTCAACAGTGGGAGGGCTTCTAATGTCCTGGCCCCACTGGTGGACCTGATGGCACTGGTATTTCTGGCCACTGTGTGACACAGAGTGTTGGACTGGATGGGTCTTTGGCCTGATCCAACATTGGCATCTCTTATGTTCTTATGTAAGTGAGTACCAGTGCACACCAAGAGAAAAATAAGGTCGAATCTGCATTTGCATTTTTAAATCCATTTAGTGCTGTTGTGACGCCGTCTTTCTCTATGCTTGTTTGAACGTTGTTTGGAGAAGATTCTTTTAAAGCAGTGCAGAGGTGCAATGACAGTGGAGCCGCCCCGAAAGGATGATAAGCATACGTGGACAGCAGTATGCCAGCACTGCTGAGGTGTGAAAACAACACCAAATGTAGACAGCTTTTTTGAAGACGGAGTCAAAAGGCTGGGACACCGGTGGGAAAGACAAATGCAGATTCGGCCTAAATCTCAGCTGCACATATACACTGCTGGAATCTGAACCAGAGGTGACGGAAAAGGAAAGAGGTTGCATAATTTCATGAAAGCCCCTACCTGGATGGCCCAGGCTAGCCCAGTGTTATAATCCATGCAATGGTCACCTCCAGGCTAGTCTACTGTAACTGGCTTTATGCTGGCCTGCCCTTGAGACTGACCTGGAAGCTCCAACTGATCCAGAATGCGGCGGCACGAGTCCTGACAGGAACACTGTGGACTGGACATATTTGACCTGTGCTGCACCAGCTGCACTGGTTTCCGGTGGAGCACCAAGTCAACTTCAAGGTTTGGGTTTTGACCTTTAAGGCCTTGAGTGGTCAGGGATGAATGTATCTGCAGGACCACCTCTTTTGGTACACCCCTGGAGAGCATTGTGCTCTGCACAGAACAGCTTGCTGGTAGTCCCTGCCCCTCGAGACATCTAGCTCTCCTTCTTGGCCCCGGCCTGGAGGAAGTCCCTGCCCAGGGGTCATTTCATAGAAAAAGAAGTGCAGGAGCTCATTAGCATAACTGATTAACATAACTTATTTGCATATGCCACACCCCTTACATCACCGGAAGTGTGTCAGAAGGCAACACCCACCGCTCAGGCTCCACTGGACTGTTTTGGATCGCTAGCTATTGGGGGGAGGGGGAATGCGCAGATCTGTCCTCGCAAAGGAGGGAGAGCTTGTACCTGAATAAAACTTGGTCTTAAAGGTGCCACTGGACTGTTTTGGACCGGGGAGCCGGGGGGGGGGAGCTCTGCAACTTACCTGGCTGCTTCTTGCTCTGACTGCGGGCTGCTGGGAGCAGGGGGTGGGGCTTGTTGCATGTGCCCGCCCCCTGAGCTCTTTACTGCCAGAGCTCCGCTCCTGTGCGCTCCTGCAGGAAGTGACCCCTGTCCCTGCCAAATAACATCAGGGCTCTGTGGGATCTTGTTCGATTCCACAGGGCCTGTAAGGCAGAAATATTCCACCAGGCATTTGGTTGAGGACAGCAACAGCTTACATCATGGCTGTCACCCTTCCTGGACCTCTGTCCCCTGAAGGATTTAGTTCCTTCCCCCCTATACCCATGAGACACCCACAGGCTGGAAATGGGAGGGAACCTTAAAATTTCACCGCTTGATTTTAATCAATGTATTATATGTGTTGAAAATGGTTTTTATTTTTTTTAACTCTGTACATTCGCAACAGCCCCACAAGTTCTGGGGATTCACAAATGTAAATAAATAAATATCTCAGAAGCTAAGCACGGATGGCCCTAATTAGTACTTGGACTGAAGATCACTAAGGAAGTCTAGGGTCGCTATGCAGGGGCAGGCAACGGCAAATCACCTCTATCTCATGCCTTGAAAACCCTACAGGGTCACTGCAAATTGTCTGCAACTTGACAGGACTTTTCATCACGGATTTAATGAGAATATCAACTCTGCGCATAGCAGTGACAAGGCAAATTCTGTTAGAAATTATACCACATAAGAATAACATGGCCAGTATCAAAATGCCTTTTTATAAATCTAAGTGGTTCAGCCACGTTTGGAATACTGTATGGGTTTCTGCTCATCCCACTTCAAAAAAGGTACATCATAGAGCTGGAAAAACTGCCAAGAAAGAGCAAGTGAAATGATTAAAGCCTTGGTTATCCTTTTCTGCACCTTTGCGACAAGGAGAGGAAAAGACATTTGGGGCTTCTCTGGGAAGAAAGATTACATAGTCGAGAATGAACAAAGATTACGCAACAGAGATTTATAAAACTATGAACGGTGTGAAGAAGTGGACCGAGATATGTTTTTTCCCTTGGTAATAATATAGAGCTTGCAACTGATTGTCAGTAAATTCAGGAGAGATGAGAAAGTATTTCTTCAGAATTAACACATGGCGTTCCCTGCTACAAGATGTGGTTTGGAATAGAGGAGGAAGGGCCGTCAGTGACTATTAGCCAAGATAAATGATTCTGAATTTGGGGGGGGGGGTTGGGGGGAGGGGGCTTTCTGGGAGTGTTTGGCTAGTCCCTGTTAAAAACAGGATGCTATGCTACCTGGTCCTTTGGTCTGTCTTCTTCACTATTCAACCTAGGCATGGAAGCAATCCTCCGGTTCTGTGATGTCTACTCCCAAGTAATTAGGCAAAGGCTGTAGCTTAATCCCCAGACTGGCAGCAGCCTCGGGTTTACCTATTTAGATATTTATCCCTCACTTTCACCCCGATGAGGCCCCAGAGCAGCTTACGACAGCATTTTCCCCTCCTCCATTTTATCCTCACAACTACCCTGTGAGAAAGGTTAGGGTAAGTCAGGGTGATGGGCTCAAAGTCACCCAGCAGTCTTCCGTGGCACAGTGCGGAGCTGAACCCGAGCCTCCCTCAAATCCTAGTCCAACATTAACCCCTACGCCATGTGGACTCTCGTGGCTCCATTACATGTTGCACCTGGATTTTTTTCCCCAAAGGCCCCAAAGATTGAACACTAGCCCAGATGACCACATGGGCACAGGACCCTTTTGACAGTTTGGTGTGCAGGGAAAGGTGCTTTGGTAAATGCTGTTTTGGCCTGCAGGGGCACCACAAGCAGCACCTGCAGAAAACCCCACAAAGGAACCAGAGCTGGCATCGAGGTCAAAAGAGTTCGGTTCACTCCGACATGGTGCTCCCCGGTTGACCTTGAGCCACCTCTGCCGCCTCTCAGGGTAGTTGAGAAAACAAAATGGGAAGAAATCCGCCTCCCTCGGCCAGAGCTTTGGCGAAGCCTGATGGGATTAGCACGAGCCCTGGGAGCGCTGGATAGCTAAATCTCCGGAGGCCCGTCCCCCGGTGCCCCACGGCCCCCGCCCGCCCGCGTGACCTTGGCTTGACCCCCTCCGTGCCAACCACTCTCCCACCCCGGCCGCCGGGCGCTTGGAGGAGGGTGGTTGCCTGCCGCCCGGCGCCCAAACACCTCTTGCCCCAACCCTGACCCCAGGCAGGTCTTGTTTGCAAAGTGATGCGCCCGGCCAGCCTCGGAGAGCGCCAGCGAGAGAGCGAGAGCGAAAGGAGGACGCTGTGAGGCTCGGTGGCACTTGCGCGTCTAACTGCTTGTGGCTGGCAGCGCTCCAGCCCGATCCCGGTGTGCCATCCCCGCCCGGCACTGCAGCTTTGGTCATATGAGCAGAAATGATAAGGGCACTTTTTCTCCCCCTCCCGCCTCCTCCTTCTTAATTTTCTTTTTTTTGCTGCACTTTGCCTCTCTCTCTCTCTCTCCCTCTCTCTTTTCTTCCCACAGTTGCAAGGATGGCGATGACTGACGTGCTCAGCGCGGACGATATCAAGAAGGCGGTGGGAGCCTTTGCAGGTGAGCCAGGGCGGCGGAACCCCCTTCTTCTTTGCCCCGGGTGAGGGGGGGGGAGAGGCTTTGCCCGGCAAAGCGAGCGAGGGGAAGGAGAGCGAGGTGGGCGAAGCGGGGCCGGGGCTAAAGCGGTCGACATCCAGGGAGGTGTCCTCTGCCAACTTCCTTTGGACGCTACAGAGATGAGACGCCCCATTAATTTTACAACAGAGGACGAAGGAGCCACTGCGGGCAGGCTCCGTCCCGCAGCGAGCGGAGAACTTTCACATTTTGACAGCCCGGAGGACGGCGCAGGGAGGGAGCCCCAAGTAAGCTCCGCGTCTGGCGTCGCCCTGTTCAGCCCCAGATTTTTAGCACCGCTTTCTCTGTTGCCACCAGGAATTCCACCTCTTCCCAAGAAACTCACGCTCCTTGTCCCGATGCTTTTGTGCTTTTGGGGTGCTTTTTGCCTTTGCATTCCCGGTGCTGGAAGGCTTTTTTTTTCCTTCTTAAGAAACCTGGGGGCTTTAATTAACTGGGGCCACTGGAGAAGATGGGGTGGCCCGCAGGGGTCCAAACTTTACAGGCAGGGCTTCCTTCTTTTGAGCCCACAGCCAGGGCCGAACATTAACAGCGGGGGGACGGGGGACGGATGGTGGGGCGGGATTAGGCGTGGGCTCCAACTGGGATCGGACAACCGATTTCAACACACACAACTCCCTGTTCCTCCTCACTTCTCCAAGAAATCTGCCCTTCAGAGATGTTTTGCTTTGAACTGAAACAGATAGGTCTATTCCATCCCCTTCTCCAAGGCATCCTCCCCCTCCCCAAAGATTAGCCTACATGACCCCCCCCCCAAGTCTGCATTGTGCCAGAAGCAGAGAGCAGAATCAAGCCCAGGGGCTTTCATAAACACCAAGGAAGCCTCACCCTACCACCTCGCCCAAGACAACTGCATCGTCCCAGCAGTATCTCTCTTTTTGAGGGAACTTGGTTTCTTCTAGAATGTTTGTAGTTCCACCAGTGGCCATGTATCAGATGTCCTCCCCACCTCTTAAAACCTGCTAAGGGGGGGGGGGGGTTTGACCTTGTTAAATACCACATGAAAGGCTAAACTCTGAAAGAAAGTCACGGACAAGCAGCCCGGAGAACTGAAGGCAAAAAAGCATCCTCCTAAATTACTGTAATCCTTGGCTCTTCTTTTCTCTGGCTCTAACATCACTGGCAAAGAGGATCCTCTCAGAACCAAGTGATTGATTCCCCTACCCCCCATCCGTTCCTCCAGGTTCCATTCACTGATTCTCTCTGGAGTTGTGTTCAGGGCTGGATGAAGGCTGCTGCCCAAATAAAGAAAGAAGCAAAGCATCCAGCCCTAACTAATCAGGGCACTTCCTGGAGGTCATTCGCTGTGTTAGATTTCCCTAGTGTCTCTCCTGGATTCAAAGCCATTGGCAGAGGAATCTTTAATTTCAGACACTCCGAAGCTTCTGAGAAATCTTTTTTTAAGCGATCTGGATTCTGAAAAGAGGGCTGCAATATAGCCGTCTCTAGGTAACTGCCCTACATGGATAGGCAGATGGATAGCCAGTCGGCCTGCCAGTGTGGTGTTGCGGTTGTGGTCACTAGGATCTGGGAGACCCAGGTTCGAATCCCCACTGTACCATGGAAGCTCACTGGACAACCTTGGGTCAGTCACTTTCCCTCAGCCTAACCAGACTCAGAGGGTGCTAGTTGTGAGGATAACACGGAGGAGCAGAGAATGATGTTGTAAACCACTTTGGGTCCCTCTTGGGGAGAAAAGCAGGGAATAGATATAGAAGCGTGTGAGTGCTGTCAAAGTCATAGCTGACTTATAGCGACCCCCTGGGGGGTTTTCAAGGCAAGAGACACTCAGAGGTGGTTTACTATTGCATGCCTCCTTGTCAGGACCCTGGAATTCCTTGGCGCTCTCCCATCCAAATATCACCCAGGACTGACCCTGGTTAGCTTCCAAGATCTGATATCATACTAGCTTGGGCTATCCAGGTCAGGGCATACATGTAGATGCGCACCGAAAATTATTGTTTAAAAATACCTTCTTGTGAATTCTGGTGCTCTTTATTACCCTTAGTCCATTTCTAGTTTGCCCTACTCCTTTGGGGGCACAGGGCAGATAATATTAGAAGATCAAAATTGAGAAAGTAGCCCAGTGAATTGCAAGAGGTGAGGGAGAGGGGCGGCTGCCAGCCGCACGCCTTCACTGAACTCCAAGCGGTGAATTTGCAAGAGAGGGGGCAGCTTTATGCCTTCCCTGAACTCCAAGTGCCAAATTCCAAGTGAGCCATTGGAATGGCGAGCGAGCCTGCTTGAAAGACACCATTTAAAGGGAACCCTTTAAATGTTTTTTATTCAAGCAGGGGCTGCCCATGCCTGAACTCCATGTGGCAAAATTACTTGGAGTTCAGGGAAGGCATGTGGTTACCCCCTCCCTCCCCCCTCCCTCTTTTCCTGCTGCCCCACAAAATTTTCCCATGTCCCGCCAACCCAAAATTTCTGGCTACGGGGCTGGTCCTGGGACATGTTCAGGGATATTTTGGCACACTACGCAGTTGTCTAGTGTGCATCGATGGGTTCAGCCAGCCATGCATAACAGGAAGCCCAATGGGAAACTTCTGAATATATAGGATTGGGTTCGCAACATGAGCTGGGGAAATGGATGAAAATCTTTTCACCATTTCCTCCTGAAATCAGATTCCTTCCTCCCCGTACGCTCTTGAATTTTTCTTAAATGAGCATACATTTTTCTGAAGCTTAAAATGTTCCAATTGGTTAAACACTTGTATCAAGCAATCACAAAAACCTTTGTTCGTTTAAATCGTGTTTAAGGAAATTAAAGTGCTTTTCTTTTGGTAAAAGCTTCTAAAAGTTCTGAAAAGTGGGTTTCCTGTTTTTAAAAGGGGTTTTTGAAAGCTTCCCCACTGTTGTTAATCTTTGCCCACTTAGAATTTACTTTCTCTGAGGACAAAGTGTCCCTGTTCCTACAGTACCAAAGTCCGTGGATAGCAGCAGTAATCTCTGATGGCTGATTAGTGGTTGAAATTGTTAGGCAGGTCCCCAAGGAAAGTCCACTGGTGGTAGCCAAACAGGTGGAATTCAGTTCTTAGCAGGAAATGTGTGACTAAAAGAGGAGAGGGAATGTCCACCAGTGAAAACATCATTAAATGCTTCCCTCTCTTAGTTCTCTGCAAACACTTTTCTTCTTACAGTCCTGTAATTAAGTCCACAGATATTTTTACTAGGACCCCTGTTTATATGTTGGCCAGGTCCGGGTTACACATGTGGCAAAATGAATTGATAACATCCTTAGATGACATAATTTGTTTATCTACTTTATACATTACTTTATCTCTATCCTGCCTTTGTCCCCAGTGGGGACCCAAAGCGGTTTACATTGTTCCTCTCTCCTTTTTATCCTCACAACAACCCTGTGAGGTAGGTTAGGCTGAGAGTTTGTGACTGGTCCAAGGTCACCCAGTCAGCTTCCGTGGCATAGTAGGGATTCGTACCCAAGTCTCCCAGATTGTCAAACACTTTAACCACTACACCATGCTGGGCAGTATCACATCAGGCCAGGGATGCTTCTATTTAAATGCTCCTTTAAAAACATGAAAGTAGAAAGCTAACACAGCATAGAGCAGTCTGGGCAATAACCATTCTCAGTGAGGTGGTACAGAGAATATGGTACTTCAAGATAGCATCCCCTCTTGTAGGGTGAAATGGTACAGTCCATTCCACCACTTCAGAATTCTGTCATAGAATCACAGAGTTGGAAGGGGCCATACAGGCCATCTAGTCCAACCCCCTGCTCAGTGGAAGATCAGCCTAGAGCATCCCTGACAAGGGTTTGTCCAGCTGCTGCTTAAAGATTGCCAGTGAGGGGGAGCTCACCACCTCCCTTGGTAGCTGATTCCACTGCTGAACAACTCATAGTGTAAAAAACGTTTTTCCTAATATCTAGCTGGTATCTTCCCGCCCTTAATTTAAACCTACAATTGTGAGTCCTATCCTCTGCTGCCAACAGGAACAGCTCCCTGCCCTCCTCTAGGTGACAGCCCTTCAAATACTTCAAGAGAGCAATCATGTCCTCCCTCAACCTCCTCTTCTCCAGACTGAACATTCCCAAGTCCCTCAGCCTTTTCTCATAGGGCTTGGTCTCCAGGCCCCTGATCATCCTCGTCACTCTCTTTTGCACCTGCTCCATTCTCTCCACATCCTCTTTGAAGTGAGGCCTCCAGAACTGCACACAATATTCCATCATCTCATTCCCACCTAATTTTGCAGCAAGTACAGACTAAGCCTCATAGGTGGCACATCAACAGCTTGATACAGGGCTATTTTTGGGCAGGAACGCACAGGAACGGAGTTCCGGCTGGCTCCCAAATTGGCCACACCCAGCAGGAACTAATTAGCATAATAGGCCATTCCCAACAGCAGAAAATCATTAGGATTGGCTACATTAGGGGTGTGTGGCCTAACATGCAAAGGAGTTCCTGCTACAAAAAAGCCCTGGGTTTTGACAACAAACAAGGTAAACAGAATAACAAGCAAAAGGTGGGTGTGGCTGGATAACCACACTTCTGGTAACATGGGGGTGCGGCCTAATGTGCTAATGAGCGGGGCTGTCAGGGGTGTGGTCTAATATGCTAATGAGTTTCTGGTGTTGGGTTTGGCCTATTATGCTAATGAGTTCCTGCTGGGCTTTTTCTACAAAAAGAGCCCTGACTTGAACAGGGTGATGGGAATCAATTGCCTTCCAGTTTACAAAACGGATTTTAACTGAATATCTGACCAATACTTGGGACCAAACTATGATGGTGTCCACAGGCCTGACCTGTGGATGCTGCCACCATTTTAAAATGATTTAAAAATACTGTGAGGGCACAATCCTGACTGGGTCCACAGTACAGCAGGCTAGGACACCATTGTCCATCTGTTCCCCCCTCTGCCACCTTTTCAAGCACCAAAATGGCCACACACATCCCACTTGGCTGCTTCAGCAGTTGAGAAAGCATGGGAGGGGGGAGTCTAGAGTGCCTCAGCCTGCTGCTCTGTCAGCCCAGTCAGGATCAGGCCATAACAGTATTTTTTAAAATCTCTTTAAAATGGTGGCAAAATCCATGGGTAGGACTATGGACACTGTCTAGTTTGGCCCTTGGTCTACTCTGACCACAAGAAACCAGGCAAGTTTATAAGCCCTCATCTTTCTAGTCTTCAACTGCATCTTTCTTCCTTATCATACCTTAAATGTTTGCCCATTCTAAAAGAATACTATATTTGTCCATTCCTCCCCCAACATGTCCTCTGAAAGACCCCAAGGAACCTCTTGTACTTCCTTCATATATAGGCTTTGCAAGAATTAATTGTTCTCCCATCAGTAGGGCAAAAATGAAAATCTGTGGGCTGGTTCATACATGCAAATAATATTTATTTAATGTTTATTTGTAGTCCACTTTTCTCACTGAGATTTGAGGTGGATTACAAAATTTAAAAACAATGCAATATGAACAGTGTAGAAGATGGAACCAATAATGTAATAAAATTGAGCTACAAACTCAGAATACAATAGAATAAAAACAGTATAAGACATGATATATCAAACAATGCAAATGCTGTATTACAGAAATGAGAAAACAATGCAGTGAGGAGATGCATACAGTAAACTGTGTCATTAACTACAGCTCTAGACCCTTTATAAAACAATTCCATTTTGTAAGAATTCCACTTTACTGCTACATTTTATTACAGTTGATCACTATACTCATGATCACCTGTAGCTGAATGTGTGAAGAGAGTCCCCTGGAAAGCACTGCCCTTGATCTGAGATTTTATCTCCAGTATTAGAACTATGATGAAGAAGAGACGGTTCCTATAACCCACTTTTCTCTACCCTAAGGAGTCTTAAAGTGGTTTACAGTCTCATTCCCTTCCCTTCTCCACAATAGGCACCTTGGGACGTCAGTGGGACTGAGCAACTTCTGAGAGAACTGTGACTGGCCCAAGGTCACCCAGCAGGATTCATGTGGAGGAATGGGGAATCAAACTGAGTTTTCCAGATTATAGTCTGCCACTCTTAACCACTACACAATGCTGGCTTTCAGTGAATGATAGCTCATTCATACGTTCAGTCCATTGCTGATGTAGTAGTCCTAAGTAATTAACAGCTGATGGGCAAAGCAGTCTTTGGGTTTCTACTTGCTGAAAATGAATGAACCCCGTGCCATCTAATTGCTAACATGCCTGGGTAGCTAGTCTCACCAGCGATTTCCTTGCTCCATTCTCCTTGTAGCTGTGGACTCTTTTAACCACAAGAAGTTCTTTGAAATGGTGGGGCTGAAGAAGAAGAGCCAAGATGATGTGAAGAAAGTTTTCCACATTCTGGACAAAGACCGAAGTGGCTTTATTGAGGAGGATGAACTAAAGTAAGCAAAATCAGTATTCCTCTTATGTAATATGCAATAGAGCCTGATCCTACACAGGGCAACAGTTATATGTAACCTGAAGGCCACATAGGTTTGAAGTTACCATTGTATGATGGATGGTTCATTGAAATGGCCTACAGATAGGACAGAAACTACTTACACAATGCTCTGCAAATTAATAGATATGGTTTTATATTTGTTTTACATTTCCATTGGAGAGTTCAGCTGCAAGTAATATCTGGCGAAAGCTTTTCATGGCTTGTACCCAGTCCTGCAGCCACTCATTTTGTGGTGGAAAGGCTTAAGCTGACACTGGGGAAAGGTCATCCGAAGTCAGTTCAAAAGCCTACAAGCAAAAAGCCTGTTTAAATGAACTGGAGTCTTGTGACAGTCTGTCTGAGGTCATGTGCAGTACCGACTTCAATGGAATAAGAAAAGCATAACTCTGCTTAGGATGGCACTATAAGACAGAAATCTTAAGCAGATCTATTCAGAATCTTTCTCACATCCTAGTCAATTAGGCTGACTCCTGGGAAAGCATTTTTAGGATTGCAGTCCAAATCGTGCTATTAACATAGCATTTAATTTTAATAAAGACATTTTAAAGTGGCCACATCCTCTTAGAAGAAGAAGAGATTGGAGTTATACCCCGCCCTTCACTACCCATAGGTGTCTCAGAGCGGCTTACAAACTCCTTTCCCTTCCCCTCCCCACAACAGACACCCTGGGAGGTAGGTGGGGCTGAGAGAGCTCTGACTGAAACTGCTCTTTTTCAAGAACAGCTCTTATCAGAACTACGGCTTGCCCAAGGTCATCTAGCCAGGTGCAAGTGGAGGAGTGGGGAATCAAACCCGGTTCTCCCAGATTAGAGTCCGCGCACTTAACCACTACACCAAACTGGCTCTTTCTTAGCGAGCAATTGGGTATAATACTGCTTGCATGTTTTGTTCCCCTGTATCTCTGTCAATAAAAGGGCTAGATAGCTACCATTCTTCTTTTAAAAAGATAATTCAAGGTATATCCTTGTGCAGCCCAGTGACCCCTGCCCCCACCAGGTGACAGTGCTGCCTGCATTAACTGCACGCATGAAGAGAGTGCTTCAAAGAAGAGAATTCTCAAAAGAGAGCGGGTGGAAGGAATCTGTAACATTGCTCAAAATAACTGCCGAAGCATTTGAAATGGAGCTTTCCCTAGTGATACTTTCTTCTACCTGAAGCAGCTTCATGTGACGGTTTCCTTCCCCCCACCCCACCCCAATGACTTTACTAAGGTCACTCTTACAAAACAGGACTGGACCAAATGCTTCTGGCCAGGCTGTCTCTGTGCTTTAGCTTAGTCATGACTGGACGAGGGCAAATAAACAGAAATCTCAGTCCAGACGTGAAAAGTATGCAGATGGAGAGTGATTTCAGCTGAGCATACCTTTATTTAGTTCAGGACAAAGACAAGGGACCAGCTCGCAGGCTGGTTTATATACGTTCAGAAAACCCGCCACCAAGTTCACCTAAACACACCCCCTACTCCCGATAGGCTATTTACAGTAACCGGGCGACCATTGGTCTCCCGGCTGAGAAGCTGGCCCTTTGATTGGGCCGGCTAGGATCCTACGGACCCATTGTCTTTGGACATGAAGCTATTGAAGAGTTGTGCCTGGCCAGCCCGGGCAAGTCCGGGCATGTCAGGCTGAATACATTACACCCCTCCCCCCTTGGTTCAGAAGGCACCCACAGACGAAGTCCTTCAAGTAGGCGGGTGGCTTCTTGGGGCGCGTCGAGCGTCGGGGCTCCGGGGTAGCGATGGGTTCGGTCTCGGGGGCCCTGGGAGCCGAGGGGCCTGGGACCGACGAGGGCGCCGAGGAGGCAGGACAGTCTGGCACCACGGTGGGAGGCGCCTCGGTTTCCTCACGGAGAGGCGGCTGTGGATCCGGT